ACTTACGTGTACACATACCTACGACTATACTAAATTACTACATCGGTAGTGGTTGTAAGTAATTAGTGTACCTACTTGTATACTAAAGTAAAGTAGTCTCTATGTATATATATATATATATATATATATATAAGGTGTGGTTTGTATAAGGTTGAGGCCCTAAACCATCAAATTAGGCACACCTCTAAATAGTCTCTAAAGATGAGCTCTCAGTAGCAAAATTCTTTGGGATTGCCTGGAAATTTATGTCTCTAATTAGATTGTTTAGGGCTTTTGTTAAATTACATCGAAATAACCTCTTTTGTTAAATTTTTCAGGTGCGTCCTAATTAGATTGTTTAGGGCTTCAACCTTATATAAAATTTTCCCACACACGTACGCACGCACACACACAAGGAAATGTTGGTGTAGGCCCACTAACCTACAACTACATATAGAATCTGGGCCGATCTGACGGATACGACCTCATTTCGTATTTGAATTTTTTTTAATTTTCTACAAATTCAAATCATGTGATATTTTAGGTGTCTATTCTGCGCATCAATGCGCACCTAATAAAAATATTAAAAAATAATTTGCAAAATATAAATTGACCAAAATACCCTTACAATAATTTGGGGGTATTTTGGTAAATTTATTTTTCACGAAATATTTTTTTGATATTGTTATTGGATTCTAATATTTTTAAAGAATACACACCCAAGATTTCAAGCGATTTGGATTTATATAAAAAATTAAAATTCAAATATGAAATGCAATTTTGATCATTGGATTTGCTCAGATTCAATCTAGGCCGTTGGGCCATATGTAGCTATAGGTTAGTGGGCCTACGCCAGCATTTCCCATATATATATATATATATGTATGTAGTTTTTCTCTCACTTGTGACTGGGCCCAAATTGACTATATATTTCTTTGTACCACTAGTCTTGATTCCTCAAGTTAAGGTGGCAGATTGGCATCCCGAGTTTTTTTTTTTATATTAGGATGAAAATGGGACTCCTTTTGAAAGAAGCAATTTTACAGTACAAGTCTGCAAAATTTATACATACCTCAGACAGGCTCCCCAACATCCAAGAAAGGGAACATTACTTCTTTCACATGCCAAACACCTTTTGTATGCCTTCCAATTTTTTAATGCTTAGCTTCAATTGATGGAAATACGAATTGTCAAAGAGGCTTTTGTGAATCTTATTTTGCATTCTTGGTCCCTAGGATTCACATTGGAAATGATTTTTTTCTGGTATCCACAGAAGAAAACTGAGATGAAAGTCCTCAATCAGACACAAGCTGGCTTGACTTGCAACTGTAGCATCCGAATGGTACCTAAGTTGGAAATACTATCCTATTACATGCTTAAAACGAACACAGGCTGCATTTTGATGAGAAGCCTTCTTCTTCCTCTTTTTTGGGGTTCTGATTCTGCTACACACATACATATATGTTGCACACGCACACACACACACACACACACACACATATATATATATATATTTCCTGTAGCATATAGTCTACACTTCCGAGTTGCTTTCTTGATTGTATTATGTAATTTTACCATCTCTGCGACTTCTTGATTTGAGGAAGTTACACATTTTTGGTTTTAATGCATTTTCATGGTAACAGTCTATATATTTTCTTAGTATAAAACTACCACTCTTGGTATGATAGAACTTATCCAATACTTTTATATTTTATGATGGAAACTTCCTTAACAAGATAAAAGGTATACATCATCTTCTGGTGAGAGACGTATCAGAATTCATACAATTGCAGTTCCAGTGGTATCAGATCTTGGAGAGATGTATCGGCATGCTGATATTGGGGCTGTTACCTTAGTACTGGGTAGGCTTGGTAAGCGCTATTTCTATGACATAACAACCCTTTAGTGTGTCCTCTCGTTGTTGAGTTTTTAGAGATTGGCCCTAATTATATTTTTCACAAACAAAACATCTGCAGCAATAGAAAAAACGTTGTCCAGTAAGTTGGAAGATGCACGCCAATTTATACAGTTGAGGATTGTTAAAAGCCTTCGAGAATATCGGAACCTTTATGCAGTTCAACATCGAGTGACTGGGAGGATGATATTCCCTGAATCACTAAAACTCTTGCCTCTGTATGGACTGGCATTGTGTAAGTCCATACCTCTTCGTGGAGGACATGCAGATGCATCACTTGACGAACGCTGTGCTGCTGGTTACAATATGATGGTTGTGCATGTTCAAAGGTTATTGAAGCTTCTCTATCCCCACTTGATCCGGCTTGATGAATACCTGATAAAGGTATAACCTTCTATTTCATGCAGTTTTTTAGAAAAAAGAAAATATTTGTTTGGCTAGGTGCGAGCAAGTAGCTCAATTGATGAATGTATGTCCTATGTTTTATTTAGGGACCTCCAAATGCAGATGCTTCTGGGGAAGTATCAAAATTGTTACCTTTGAGTGCTGAGAGCTTAGATCCAAGTGGCTTGTATATTTATGATGATGGATTTCGCTTTGTTATTTGGTTTGGCAAAGTTTTGTCCGCGGATATTGTAAATAAGTTACTTGGACCGGAGATATCTGCCTTTGCGGACCTATCCAAGGTAATTATCATAACTTTCATTTTTGAGAGAAATTTATCTGAACTTTCATTCATTGTGCTCTTTGTAACTCTTGTAGGGTTAGTACTTGGTACCTATTATTTGTTTTGTACATATATATGTATTGTACTATCGCTAGACAAGGTCATGGTTTTCTCCGTCCACAACCATAAACTGTTAGTGTCTTCTCATCTATATATATATATATATATATATATATATATATATATATGAAATAACTCTTGTGTTAATAAGGGTTAAAGGTGTATGATTGCTAGTGAGTCCACTATTGTGTTTGATTCATGCCACCCATGCCTGAATGAGACACATAGTGGGCTATTAAATGGAAAATCTCATTGAAGTTGTGTTTGAGTTCCTTGGGGAAAGCAAAGAGTTGATGATGTTTTTGGAATCTCCTTCAGCCAAAAGAGTGCACTCACAACTTCTATCAGACTTTTCGAGGGCTATGAGCAAATCCTGGGCTTTGATTGTGGTTGCATCTGAGACACCAATGCGGCTTGAAAATGTTAATAGTGTGGCCCTTGTGTAGCTTTCAAAAACACCCCCAATACCACCCATGTGCCGGGGTTGCCCAAAGAGCATCCGTCAGGTGATCTTTGTGATGCCTTTTGTATATTCGTAGAGTCAGGGCCCTGAATGGCTGGAGACATACCTGTGAGCAGGGCTCATCCCCAATGGTCCCGTATACGCTATTTCCAGGCAACAATGGAAGGTGGACTTTATGACCTTATTACTTGCGTAGGCTGGAAAAGGATGGAAAGGACCAAAGGTTCTTATGTTTTTTAACATGGAAAGGAAGTCACCTATAGCCAAGGGAAGGATGGTCTTTTGATCTTAAATATTTGGCATAAGTAAGAGTGGCCTTGGTACGCCCTCAAGGTGCCTTCGCTGTAAACAAGATACGTGCAAGCCCTTGGTGAAAGTCCAGGTGACCAGGACTTGAGATCCATAAAAAGCACACCCACTTTCCTTGAATAAAATCTAGTTTTCATTTGGTTTGGTTTCACAAGTAATTGTGAAAAGTTCGGACCAGCAACCACCTTAGATAGAGATTCTTGTGAGAAGTATGTGTCACCAAAGTAGCAATCCTGTGGAAGAAGTGAAGCGCTCCCATAGAAGTAGCACTTATGTAGGGGGAGGGAAGTGCTCCCTCAGAAGTAGCACTCCTGTGGAATAAGTGAAGTGCTCTCACTAAATGATGCAGGACAACATTATTTACTAACCCCCTTTTGAAAACTACTAACGGTTTCAAAAAAGTGCTAACTCACTACTGACAATTAATGTTAAAAAAAGAAGAAAGTTTTAATTTTTATTATTTTCAAAGGTTGTATATTTTAATTGTAGTTTTAGGGTTTATTTTTAGAGCTTTTAGGTTTATTACGGATTCTATTTATTTATTTATTTATTCATAGGGGTAAGTTTTTAACATTTTTTAAGAGCGTTTTGGACTTTTATGTTTAGTTAGAATATGGGTTTCTTCCTTGTATAGACAAGTAATGCCATTTGAACATTAAACATAACATAAATAGAGGTGTGTGCCTCGTTAGGAAAATTTTAGGCTTTTGATTCCACATGACTTTACTTTCCAGAAAAGAAAGAGTTCAAGCTTTAAGCTTTTGAACCCTAGCTTGAGGGAGGAGTAAACTTTAGGGTTCCTCCAAGTTTTTTGCATGTGTTTGGCTTGAAAATCGTGTTGCTTTTATTGTTCTTCAAATTTCATCGGAATCAATTTAGTATTAGAGCTCAGGGTTTCTTCACCAACAAGGCTAGAACGCTACAACCAAGTCCAGGGTTTATTGATTTTGGGAAGCCTAGATCTTGCTGATTTCAGTGAGTGTTTATTGGTTCTCTGCCTAGTTTGGCAACAAGAAGGCTCTGTGAAGGGGGGATTTTCGTAGATCCACTTCGTGATCCTAGGGATGAAGAAACTGAGAAACTCAAAGGCAAGTGCAATAGTCGATGCAACAGTTTGTGAGCATCATTCGTGGGTAAGACGGCGATCTCTCTACAAACGAAGATGTCGAGTACAAACTCTTTTTACCTTCGTGCTCCGCATTAAGAATCAGTTAAAGAGGAAAGTAATATAAGACCTAGACATGGGGAACTTCACTCTAGGGTTTTCGATTTGGACGACATTCTTGATTTGATGCAAGTTTTAGATTGGGATTTGCCACTAATCTTTGATACATATTTATATGATGAACAAGATCTTTAAGGAGATATGATCTACAATGATGAACAAGATTTTATGGTTGAACCGATCTTTGACGAAGAAAAAGATGGACTCCAAGAAGAATCAATAGCTAAAGTTGTTGGTTCAGTCATTGAATCTAGCGCTCATGTTGAAGATGCAACGCTAGTATATTCTAGGACTGAGTCTAGGCAATTTCAGCAGGGTTTATATAGTTCAACTAATGCAATTTCAACAAATGTATGTGTGTAAACAATGTTTATTGATATAAGAGTGCCCTTTTCCTTGAGGGTTTCTTAAAATTGTTTATGAATATATCAATTGCTTTCAAAGCCTTCGCTTCATTACATAAACGTTGTATCTTGATTGGGCCAATAAACCACAAGTCCAAGGATTCGAAGCATAATGTTCAGGGAAGAAGATTGTGGAACTAATGCGAAATTCATCTTGGCCTACTTCAAAACTCAAGGACGATTCTTCTCTAGCTAGTAGAGAATGATGTAGGATACTTAATTTTTAAATTTTATTGTTTAAAATAATGTATATTTTAATTTTAATTTTAGAGTTTATTTTTAGGGTTTTTAAGTTTTTAGAGATTCTCGAGTTATTTATTTATTTACCATTCACTTGTTACTATTCAGGGTATTGTTCATGGATTACTGTTCATAGGGGCATTTTTGAAAATTTTGATATTATTTAAAAAATACTTACTATGTTTCAATTAGGGTATCGGTGTCAATTTCTTGTATGGAAAATTAATATCCTTTGAACTATTTAAGAGGTGCTTGGAACCCTTAACTAGGGAAACCAAAGCTTAGGCTTGGAACCCTAGCTTGGGTGAGGAAGAAACCCCAGGGATTCTCTTAGTTATTGTTAGTGTTTGGCTTGTTTTCTTGCTTATTTTATTGTTCTAATTAATTTCCCATATCAATTTTTCTTAGTCCAAATTGATGTAGGGGAAATTTGAAGAACAGTAAAACAACAAGATTTTAGAGCCAAACACATGCAAAAATTTGGAGAAACCCTAAAATTTACTCCTCACCCAAACTAGGGTTAAAAAGCTTGGAGCTTTCACTCTTTCTTTGTTGAAAACAAAGTCACATGGAATGAGCCACAAGGCTCCACACACTTCTATTATGTTCTTTTTAATGTTCAAAGGACTTTAATTGTCTAGACAAGTAAGAAATTAACACCCATGTCCTAACTTAAACATGCCTATAATACTTTTAAACGATATTAAAAAATTCAGAAATACCCCTATAGACAAATTACTCATGAGCAATTCGTGTGAATAGGACCTACAAGCAATATCCATGAATATTTAACTAGTAGTAGTAAATAAATAAAAATATAAAAAAAGCCGACAATACTTAGAAAACTTAAAAACCCTAGAAATAGCCTAAACTATAGTTAAAATATACATAATTTTAAATTGAATAAAAATTATAAATGGGAATAATTTTGTTCTGCAACATTCTCCCCTGTTTGGATAAACATGTCTTCAAGTTTTGAAGTAGGCTATGATGAATTTCGCATTAGTTCCACAATCTTCTTCAACCTGAACAATATGCTTCGAATCCTTGGACTTGTTTATTAGCATAATCAAAATACAACGATTATGCATTAAGGGTAGGGCCTTGAAATCAATTGATATATTCATAAATATTTTTGAGAAAACCTCGAGGAAAGGGTTCCTCTTATATGTCGATAGTCTGTTTAGCCACTTAAACTTTACTGAAATTGCATTAGTTCAGCCATATAACCGTGTTGAAATTGTCTAGGCTCAGCCTTAGAAAATACCACGACCGCATCTTCAAAATGAGCGTTGGATTCGATGACTGAACCAACAACTTCACCTAGTCATTCTCCTTGGACTCCTTCATCTTTTTCTTAAAGATCGGTTCAACCATGAAATCTCATAGTATCATCGCAAACTGGATCTTCTACAAGATCTTGTTCTTCATGAAGTATGTATCGAAGATTAGTGGTAGATTCCAATCTACATCATGCTGATTGCTAACAAGAAAAGAGCTCTGTGATAGCTTGTTGGTTCCATGTTCAAAACATCTCAAGTTCAAGGCGTGGATGGTTGAAAACCCTAGACGGATTTTGAAAACCCATGTTCAAAATAAATAAATCTACATCTTGCTGATTTTTGATACCACTTATGTCAAAATCAAGAATGTCCTCCTTCAAATTGAAAACCCTAGACGGATGTTCCCCAGGTCTAGGTCTTCTATCACTTTCCTCTTCAATCGACTCTTCATGCGGAGAATGGAAGTGAAAAGGATTGTGTTTAACATCTATTTGGGCGGAAAGATCATTGTCTTGCCCATGATGATTCTCATAAACTGCTGTCAGTGTTTCAAAAAGCGTTAGGCAGGTCCTAAGCGGCCTGGGAGGTCCAGGTGGCTTGGGAGGTCCAGGCGCCCAGCGCCTAGGTGGGTGCCCAGAACCTTGGCGGCTCAGTTGAATCCAAAAAGGATGCCCATTTGAATAAAAAAAAGGATATATAGTATAAAAACTAAAAATTAGGTATTTAGGGAATTTACTTTTTGAGTTTGATTGCTCAATCTTCAAACTTCCACCTCTCAAAATCTTCTAAAGAACCCCCCAATAGATTTATAAAACATCAAAAATTAAATCTAATATCAATGGGTGATGTTTTGATCAAATTTTGTCAAACTTTGAAAAACCTTTCTATCTTAAAGAAATCACAAAAAACTAGTTTTTTGGAGGCTCTCTCTCAAAAATAGGCTCCAATAAGTTTTAAGTTTCAAATGAACTTAAA